GGAGCCCGATGCAGGACTCGATCCCGGGACTCCAGGATCATGACCTGAGCCGAAGGCAGTCGCTTAACCAACTGAGCCACCCAGGCGCCCCAATTATACCTCTTTTAAAAAGTAAGGTTATAGTATTTGTACTTGTTCGTATGTTCAGTTTCAATAAACTAACTGCCTCTTAACATTTACAAAATTGGTGAGATGTACCGTCACATCCTGTACTTTTGGTTAACTTCTACTTACGTGTGAGAAGTTAACTTCTCCCTAACAATACTATAAATCTCTGACAGCAAGAACTTTTCCTTATACTACTCTGTATCCCCTACAACAAATTCAGAGATGTGTAAGTGATAAAAAAAAAAACTCCCTGTCTAATTACTTAAATAATAATAAAATCCTCTAAACCAAAGAAATATAAATATCAGTACTAGTCTTTTAGTGATATTATCTTTAGCAACAGCAGGCTTCAAGACTTCATTTCTCATTTCAGAAGGCTGTTCTCATGACTGAGAAACTGCATCTTTTACCTTCTCTCCACTGAGATTCCATGGCTGAACACGGGTGAAAGACAACAAATCTGCTACCGAATGAGGTTTCTTAATTTCACCCACAAAATACAGTCTCAAAAGAAGTCTATCATCTAATTGATGAGTCCTTTATGTGATTTTGCAACTTGAAGTCTTGGGTCTTGGACATCTAATAAAATACATATACTGCTACCGCTGCTTCTAGGTAAACATGCCACCTGGTTTTAATAACAAAAGCAACCTGAATCTGGTCACTTTAAGCAAGGATTGCTTAAGGCACGAACCTGTGTCAACTAATCCTTCAGCAAAGAATATTAGAGAGTGTGTCAGGCAGGAATCACTGAAGCAGGAAGTGGAAGGAGCTGGGGGGAAACATTCTAAACGGGATGAGAGCAGTCATTGAGTTCGCCACACACACCCCCTTCCGCTAGGTACTGCAAAGCCCAAGACTGCAAGCCCCAGGCACCGGCAGCAGCCTGGAAATAAACACACAGATGGCCACGACAGGGCTCCCTGCAAAAAGAGGTCATATCACCTGCCAAGCAAACTGCTCACCTCGGGTTTTCAGAAAACTAGGCTTGACAGTGGAGATCTGCGCCTCAACAACAGCAGCAGCAAAGCAATAATAAAAACATTAATGACTGCAAACACTTGGTGCGTAATATATACTGGCACTGTTTCTAACAACTTTACATATTATTTTATCTTCACAAGAGCCGGAAAAAGCGATACTATTATTACTACCCCTTTTAACAGATGACCCAGAGAGATTAAATATGTTGCGTTGCCTCACTCAGTGCGGTGGAGACAAGATTAAGCTCCAACCCAAGTAGTATGGCTCAACCCTACGATGCGCAGGCGGTGCCCATGGTCCCCAGGAGCACCCATCGCTCTACAACCCAGTTCCTGAGAGTGACCTCAGGGGGATCGCGTTTCCCGTGGGAAGGTACTCATACTACCAGCGCCGTTTCCCAGCCTCAGGCCTCGTATGTGCGCAGTCACGCACCTCCTTCCTGGAACCCTCACCTGGATGCACCTCTTCACCTGCAAAAGTCGTCTGGCCTGCCCAACCTGCGCGCAGTTCCGTGATGTTTTCGTTTTCAAATTCAAACAATGGCGGCGAAGTCAGCGCACGGAACGCTGGGAGTGGGCGGAGCTTCCGGAACGACGCCCGGGAGCGCAGAGGCTCGAGCGGTGGGCTTCCCACCTGCTCCCGGAAGAAGCTTTCAAATCTGGGGCGGATCTCAGAACGCCGGCAGTCACTGGGCGGAGGGGCTGGTGGGCGGCCGGCGAGGGGAGGGTTGGGAGTCCTCGCGGAGTCAGGTGTGCAGCGCGGACTGGGGCGCTGCCTGGTGGCTGCGGCCGGTAGCACCTCTGATGGCACGGACGCCTATCTCGGATACTATCCTGGAGACGAGCGAAGGCCTGGAGGTGAGGCCGCTGCCACCGCACTTAGCCCCGTGACTCCCCCAGGGACGGGCAGAGGAATGGCGAGCTAGCCTCTGCCCCGGCGTGCCCCTGCAGGAGGGAGCGACTTCGCCTCCCGAGAGTCGCTTAGAATTAGGGCTGCCCGCACCCGGAGGGCCACTTCTTTCGCTGCCTGACCCCACCTGTCATCCCCAGCGGTCCTCATGGACGAAATAAGTTTCTCCCAGAATAGACATTTATAGGCATTTTCTTTTTTCTTCTTCGTCGTCTTCTTTTTTTTTTTTTCTTTTTTGCCATTCTGAAAATATAAAGCACCTACCGCTGCCAGGCGCTGTGCTGTGACAGTCTAAATTCCATGCGTAGGCAAGGTCTTTGCTCAAAACGTTAAGTGCCAGCACAAGCCTTATCTGCTTCTTTTAAAGTGATCCTCTTCTTTCGAGTGTGGTGCGATAATATTCATGACAAGCATTTATTACTTAGGCCGACTCTCCCTGCTGTGCTTGATTTTAAAGAAAAATAACTGAAAAGGTTAATTGAAATTTTACCTTGTGCCAGTCATGGTATTAAGCATATAAAGTGGATCGTCTTATTAATCCTGAGAACAGCCCTTTGAGGTAGGTACTATTATTATCCGCATTTTATAGATTCGGAGGAAACTGAGTTCATATGGTTAAGTAATTTGCTAAAAAGCATGTGGCTATTAAGGGAGGAGCTGGGAATCAAATTCAGCAGGATAATTTCATAGACCCACCCTCTTACATGTGGTCTTATTTTTTACTATTTTACTTGGTTAGCTACAGTTTTAGAAAACCTACTTTGATGAGCTTAGGGTCTTCCCTACCTTATCATTCTATATATGTCCTTCAGTTTACCCTTTCTCTGGCTAACTTCCCACTGTCTCCTCATTCAGTTCACTTTCTTTCCCCACAAAATCATCATTTGAAGTGAGCGAGTTTGGAGTAGAGGAGAGGATGCAGGGCCAGGAGTTAAAATGAACAGAGAAAGTCATTGTAAAGGGGAAGACAGGAGGAAAGATAAAATAAAAACTATGTTTTCCTGTCCAGGCTGAAACTCAAGTCTTTAGTGGGCTCTGTGTCAAAGTCTCCATCGCTCCTTCAGTCATGTCTATCCCTAAATCTGTGTTTCTTGTCATACCTCATAATGCCTTTATTGCTTTTATTTTAAGATGTTATTTATTCATTTATTTATTTATTTATTTGAAAGAGAGAGATAGAGCACAAGCAGCGGGGAGGGCAGAGGAAGAGAAGCAGACTCCCTGATGAGCAGGGAGCCCAACCCATGACCCTGAGATCATGACCAGAGCTGAAGCAGATGCTTATGCAACTAAGTCACCCAGGCACCCCTGCCTTTATTTCTTTTACTAGCTGTTACTGATTCCCACCTCTTGAACCCTCCAGGTGCTATGTTTATTCATTATTTGACAAATACTTATTGAAAACCTGCTATGTGTCAAACACTAGGCTGCAATTTAGGGAAACAGTGGAGGAGAGTAAGCAAAATAGACACCAACCCTCAAGGAGCTTACATTCTAATGGGAGAGATAATCAAGTTAAAAAATACAAATAATTGAGAAATTACAACTGTACTGAGTGGTTTGAAGGAAAATATTCTAAGAGCTGTAAGACTATGTCACAGGGAATCTGAGCAAATAATGTTTGATCTGGATCTCCAGGGCTCATTAGGAAATTAACCAGGTTTTAAAGAGAGAGAGGAGTAAGCATTCCAGGCATAAGACAAATAATACCAGACACAGAGGAAGCAAAAAATAAAAAAATAAAAATCCAATGTATTCTCTTATTTTTATTTCGCTCCCAGAAGCAGCCACACAGTTAAATGCTTGAGCCTTGCCACACTCATTTGGCTTCTGGGTCAGTAAAAAGTCACTTTGTCCTTGTTTACTCCTGACCTTACTAACCACCTGTCTTAATCTCTTTTCTATCTCTTCTGCCTAAGCTCTAAATTATGGGCATCCTCAGAGCTTGGTCCTGAGCCCACCTTTTTCTCTCCTCTATAGTCTTCCTCTTGGCAACCTCATCAACTCCCATGGATTTAAGTATCTTTATACTTACTTGAGACTTCCAAATTCCTTGTCCTCTCCAGACCTCTCCTCTGAACACCAACCAGATGCAAATATCTGAGTACCCACTTAACATCTCTACTTGGATGTATAACAGATATCAGTAACTTAATATATTCAATATGGGATGTTGATTTTTCACTTCAAACCCCAAATTCTCTCCTCCCTAATCTCCGTCTCAGTGAATGACACCACCATGTCTCTGCCCAGTTTACTCAAGACAAATAAAAGAATCATCCTTGGATCCTCCTTTTCCCTCAGCAGCCTCACTCAGTTCATAAACAAATGTATCTATTGTGCTTTTGTCTTATAAGTAAAATAAACACCTGTTTCCCTTTTCATTGACCACCATAGCCTCCCAACTTGTCTCCCTGCTTAAGATCCTGCTCTCCTCCCCAACATTCTTTGTAGAGTAACCAAACTAATCTCAAAATGTAAATGATCAAGTCACTCCCTGGCTTAAAGCCCTTCGGTGATTTCAGAAGAAAATCATATTTATATTTTTAAGGGAAGAAAACAGATGCAAAAGAACTTACAAAATACACTAACTTTTGTGTAAGAAAGAAGAAATGAAAGTCTACATATATATATATATATAAATACCACACAGATACACATACGTTTGACCTGCTTTTTAAGAGGTAAGTTCAAAAACTAAATCAGAAAATTAGCTGAAAATGGTTACCTATGGGGATGGAAATGTTTTGCAAGGACTAATGATGGCAGTGTGGCTTCTCTGAATAATGTTTTTTTAAATATAGTTTTGCATTTTCAAAACATTAAATCTAAAGCCATAGAAATAAAAGCAAGCCCTAAAATTTCATACAAATAAAGAAATGAACATACTTGAATATCAAATTGCCAGCATAACCATAGAGTCAATTAATTGAGCACAGTATACTCCATGAACTGGAGTTAGGAGTTGTGGGATAGAGTGTAAGAGCAAAACAGTGCAAAGAATCAGTAACTTCACTTAGTAGGTTTGATGTTGAAAGGGATATTGGTATAGCAATTTTGAAACTACTATGCATGCGTTATAGGAAAATGCAAATGAGTAAATATATTCATGTTGCTTAGAACTGAAGTTCTCACTATGGGAGAAGAAAGATAACAAATATGGAATGATAGAGGCTAAGGAAGAATCCCATAGAGTTGGATTTGAATTGGTGGTAGTAAAATAAAGTTATGATTTTTTTTTTTTATCTCAGTTGGTCCATTGACAGGGCCTAGAGGCATAGAAACCCTGACACCCCAGTGAGAATAAGCACACCTAGCAACAAGCCACCCACGTGGTTTCTAAACACCATTCATCACTAAAAGGAATCAGTGCTCCTTGGAGAGAAGGCTGATTCACATCTGGAGCAAGGAAATTGCAAAATGAGCCTGGAACATTCTTCTCAGAAAGCAAAGAAGTCCTTAGAGATTAATAGGGTCATTTCAAAGATATTGGACCTGGATTAACGGAGCTTCTGTTGACCACACTTGGAACAATCTGAGCATTGAAAAGAATAATAATGATGGTGAGAGACCAAAACAGATTTAATTTTTTTTAAGTTCTCTCCATGAAAGAAAGAGGGAGAGATGAAATAAAAACAAAAAGTTCTTCTATACATAAGAATGCTAGTTAATGAATACAAATAAAACAATAAATAGAAAATCCCCATTTTGGGGCACCTGGGTGGCTCAGTCGTTAAGCATCTGCTTCGGCTCAGGTCGTGATCCCAGGGTCCTGGGATCGAGCCCCGCATCGGGCTCCCTGCTTGCTTCTCCCTCTGCCTGCTGCTCTCCCTGCTTGTGCTCTCTCTTTCTCTCTCTCCCTCTGACAAATACATAAAATCTTTTAATAAATTGATATGCGTAAACCTTATCAATACATGCCGAAACAGTGGATGAAAGACGCTAAAATCATTGGCTGAAAGGTTGTTGGGGAACAGGACATTAACACTATCTCAAAGAGTGTCCTAGAGACTAGTTCATAATTATCAACATAGAGATTTATTTGTTAGACATACCTTAACTAAATGAGGAAACTTAGCATCACCAACAATGGAGCAATTTATCACTTGATGGTATCTGTGCCAGAAATGTTTAACCTAAATCTACTTATGAGAAAACAAAACAAAACAAAAAGAATATAGAACACTTTACAAGACAACAGACCTAGGTTCTTCAAAAAGTGTCAGGGAAAAAGAAAAAAACAAGGTGGATGATTGCATTAGTCAGGAGACAAACATTACAAATGAAATTCATAAATCTTGTTTGGTTCATAGTTGTTTTTTTTAAGAAGTAACTACAGAAAAACATTTTGTGGACAGTTGGAGAAATTTAAATATGGACTATATATTAGATGATACTGAATCAATATTAAATTTTTTGGCGTGTGATAATTTGTGACTATGTAGAAGATTGTTTTGGGACAATACTTGCTTCACTATTCAGCCACTTAACTTCAAAAGCTTTGGGGGAAAAAATGAAACAAAACAAAACAAGTGAGAGGGAACAAAAAAATAGGACAAGGAAAATGGGACCAAAAAAGCAAAGTGGCAAAAAGTTAATAACTGCTGGATCTAGGTGAAAGGTATAGCGATGTACATTGTGCCACACTTCTAATTTTTAAAAATAACTTTGAGATTTTCTAAAGTAAAAAGAAAAGGAAAGCATTTTCCAATTCTTTACCATGGGCCACTAGGCCCTGCAGGATCACCTACTACCCAACCTCACTTCCCTCGTCCCTTTGTGCAATGAGGCAGTCTGCCCTGGTTACCTCAACCACACCAGGTTCTTCCTCGCATATATGGACCTTTCCATAGGTTGTTCCCTCCTCCCTATTCATCATGTGGCTCACTGCTCTTCCTCCTTTAGATCTCTCTATAATAGTACCTTCTAAGAGAATACTTCCCGGCCACCTTATCACAATGGACCCTTTTTTTTTATTTGCAAGCTCAATTACACTTTCATACTTATTACAATCAGCAGTTATTATATTCATCTGGTTTTTGTTGTCTTTATTATTCCCCCACCTCCTCAAATATAAGTTCTTTGAGTACAAGAACTGTGTTTCTCCTGGTCACTGATGTGTCCTCAATGACTGTATAAATCCATGTTGATCAAATAAATATTTGTTGAACAACGAATGAAGGCGGATATGGCTGGGGTGAAGACCATGGGGAGGGATGGCCGGAAGCAAGTTTGGAGGGATGGGCCAAGACTGGATCCTACAAAACTCAGTCAGCTAAGCACTGATTTGGGTCCTTATTCTAAGAACAGTGGGAAACCAGTGGACTATTTTAAGCATGAGCACAATACAATCTAATTTGCCTCTGTGTTTTGAAAAGGTTAATCTGGAGCAGAGAAAAGAGGCAGCCAAGGAAGAATTGCTGAACCAGTTAGGAGACTACTGCAGCAATCCCAGCAAGAGATGATAATGTGGACTCAGGGGATGGCAGAGCAGACACAGAAAAGTGGACAGGTTTCAGAGGTATTTTTTTCCTATATTTTCCATTTCGGCACCAGCCACTGGGTTTTCCCTTAGAAACAGAGCCAACTTGACAGAGATGCTTCAAATTTCGTCCCCATTCCAAATAATCCCATCTGTCCCCTTGAAGTGAGCATTAGCATAAGATGAAGAAATTGTTAAATTACATCAAGCTGATTTCCTTCCCTCGTCACAGCCTCTGCTGGTAATAGCTACCAGCCACAGCTAACTTTCCATGTGCCAGAGACTGTTCTAAGCACTTTACACTCACTTAATCTTAATGGTAACCCTGTGAGGTGTTTTGTTGTTGTTATTATTCCCAAGAGATGAAGGATCAGGATATAGAAGTTTATTATGAATAAGTGCAGAGATAACCAATAGAGGAAGAAAAAATAACCACAAGGAAAGAACAGGAGAGAAAACTGAGGCAAGGAGCTAGTAAAGAGTAGTAAAGTTACCATAGAGGTTAACATGGAAGTGTTAAGAAGTTTAATTCAGGTAATATTTGTAAAGTACCTATAAAAGTGCCTAACACATATTTAATAGTCACCTCTTAAATGTGTGTAAATAGTAAACAATGGAATTAGAATTGGAATCTGGGTAGTCTGGCTCCAGAGGGTGTACAGTTAACCACTGCATTCTGTGGCCTCTCAAAGTTTAGACCCAACAACCCTGTAATTCTACTAAAAGAAGACCGAGTGCCTCCCTTCTGTGCAAAGCCACCACCAAAACTGGGACTGACATAGTTTTTCAGCCCTTAAACTGAGTATATATTGATTACAAAATTTGAATGGCAGATTCAACAAAAATTTGTCAAGTATCCAATATGTATCAAATGTTTCTACCCTTAAGAAGCCTTCAGTCTAGGGGTGCCTGGGTGGCTCAGTTGGTTGGGCGACTGCCTTTGGCTCAGGTCATGATCCTGGAGTCCCGGGATCGAGTCCCGCATCGGGCTCCCTGC